CCTCCCTCCCTNTAGAGATCCGGACCCTTACTACTCTTCCAGCCTTCCGTAAAGCTACGAAGACCTGGCTGTTCCAGCAGGCTGGGGGCTGTTGATCATTATCCAGCCCCACTCCAAGCAGTTTGTATGATGTGTAGTTTTTAAAAATTGTATGTCTATTTTTAAATTTATATGTCCCCTTGTCTTCTCTGTAAGCCGCCCAGAGTCCCTAGGGAGTGGGCGGCATACAAACGACAATAAAACCTAAACCTAAACTTAGAATGGTCACTAAATGAACTGTTGTAAGTTGAGGACTGGGCTCCTTGCTGCCTTCGATGGAATCCGTTAAAACGGAATGCTTAGAAGTCGGAGGGGACATATTTACTTATCGCTCGGGCTGAGGCCTAAGAAAAATCTTTGATTTTTCATTCTTTTGGAGGGTGTGTGTGTGTGTGTGTGTGTGTGTTTGTGTATCGCAGAAAACACACTCAGCTCTTTTGCAAAGTTTGGGAATGCAAAGCGTGATAGAATCCTGTAAAACACACACAGGCCCCCCAACGAAGGCTCTGGGCTGAAACCTAACACAATATTTTCATTCGTTTGATCAAGGGGCGTGTGTATGCACACACCCCTCTTGCAATGTTCGGGAATGCCCAGGTTTGAGAGGCTCACCACCACCACCACCACCAATTTAGAACAGAATAGAGCCGGGAGGGGACCTTGGAGGTCTTCTAGCCCAGCCCTCTGCTCAAGCAGGAAATCCTAGGACCATTTCTGACAAGTGGATTTCCAGTCTCTTCGTAAAAACCTCCAGGGATGGAGCAGCATCCACGGCTTCTGGTGGCAAGCTGTCCCACCGGTTAATTGTCCTCCCTGTTAGGAAGTTTCTCCTTAATTTGCTTCTCTCCTTGATTAGTTTCCATCCATTGTTTCTTGTCCTGCCCTCTGGTGCATTGGAGAATAATTTGACCCTCTTTTCCTTCTTTGTGGCAACCTCTCAAATACTGGAGCATTGCTATCATGTCTCCCCTAGTCCTTCTTTTGACTAGCCAGGCCCAAAACCGGCAGTCATTCTTCATATGGTTTAGTCTCCAGGCCTTTGGAACGATCTACCCGTTGAGATCCTCAAAAGATTCTTTGTGGCAGCCCTTCAAATACTGTAATACTGCTATCGTGTCACTCCCTAATTCTTTAGACTAGCCAGACCCAAATCCTGGAGTCGTTCTTCATGTTTTAATCTTTGACCATCTTAACTGCTCTTCTCTGAACTTTTTCCAAAGTCCCAACACATTATTTGTTTAATGTTTAAGGGATCGTCCACTAGGATTCTCAAGGTCCCACTCAGTTCCTACTATTGAGCAAGGTACCACATATACTGTACTTGATTTCCTCCCCCCCCCCTTTAAAATGCAAAACTGCTTTTCTCCACGTTAAAATCCATTTTGTTGGGCAGGGCGCATTGTTCAAGTTTTGTCAAGATCTTTTTTGCATTGGCGTTCTGTGGAGTTGGCCGTTCCTGCTAGTTTAAATCTACAAATTTAATACGTTCCCCCTTTCTCTTCCTTCATCTAAGTCATTATTGATCCAAATTGGGAGTCCTGGGCCTAAGACGGGGAGCCTCGTGGGTATCCCACTGCTTCCTAGTTTGTAGGAAGCACCACAAAATCCATCTGGGGGGTGGCGAGACCTATTCCACATTGTTCTAGTTTACCAAGAGAATTGTGGTCTGCTTTGTCAAATGCCTCGTGGCACGACAAAACCGCGAAGCCCTTATCCGCGGAGACATAAGCGCGTCGCTAAAGCCGCGACGTCATCACCGCGCGTCATCACCGCCGCGGCGGCAACAGAAGGGCGCTTTAAAACGGC